AAAAATATCACTGCATTTTCTCCTTTATAATTATGTGTAGCCACATTCAATTTATAACTTGTAATAATATTTTCAAATTGATTTGCTAGTTACCTAAATTGATTTTGTTACATTTCGGCCGAGTAACTTACCAGAATATACTGCTATATATAGGTCTTTGAATGTTTCGCGTCATCTTCTCGGCGTCTGTGCGCATGCGTAGTTGTTGATGAAGCGGTGTTGATGACACTTTTTATCATATTTTGTTTAATTGATATCTAATTGATTATCAATATGAATGTTATTGTGTTGATTTAGTATTATCAACTATGAGCACCAGTGTTAAATATGAATAACATACTTGAGTAAATTGGAAAGCTTGTTAGTATAAAGAGGTTCCTCACACTCGGTACATGGCACCTCCCGGAGTGATGCCACTATTTACGTATTTTTTTTTATTCAGGCACGATATCACACTTATTCCATTTAATCCTGGCATATTCCAAATTCAGATATGGTAATCAGCAATGTAACCAAAGTGAATTCAAATGTTGTATCGTCAAGTGTGTTACTGATTACGAAATACCTAACAAGCAACTCACACGGTTTACCATGAGGCTCCACAAATACGTACGAACGCAGTGTGTAAACTGTTGGAGGTGTGTGTATACGCTGAGCAACTATGTAAATATGGTTAGTAAGGTGGAAGAAAAAGTGAGAAAACGCCTTGAAATCAGTCGGTTTAAAACAAAACAGCGTAACAGGAGACTGTGTGTATTATAGAAAACAATAGCTGAGTAAAAGTGACTACCGTTTAGCGTAGTTGTCGGACCTGTTGCATCTGTTGCCGATTACTTTTTTTTCCCGTTGAGATACTTATTTGGAAAAATATGACGCATTATACACAACATGCACTGTGTGATGATGTTCGTTGGAAAGTGTAAATGTAATATCAATGGTGTATAATTGTAAATATATTATTAACTAATTTCTCTGCCTTGAGAAGTTCATGATAAGTGACTAACTCTTTCGAAGCTATCATTTTCCACAGTCATACATACTCTACGGTATTGTTGACACTTGCCACATCATTCCAAGTTACTGAATAGGAGACGTATTTTTTTCTTTATTTTTTATAGATGTAGCAGAAAGTAGTTGAAGTTATAAGTCTCTGAGTATTTTAAGGGAGGTACAAAGATAATTAATGGATGTGTGTGTGCCAATATGTTGTAATATCATTCAAATAATACCATTAAATTTATTCACCATCACGTTTAAGAGCCGTGTGACTTTGACGTCATGTATACAAAATATTCCGTGAATGATGCGGCCCTTGTAATATTGTGAATTTTATGTAGATTGTGGATTTTATATTGTTTATCACAGACGACATCCGTTCTTTACAATATATTAATAATGTTGTCATCAATACAAAGCCTGAATAAGACTAGGCTCATGTTATCTTATCAGGGTGTCCGATAAAGCTATATCCATTGTCGGATGGGAAGGAGCGATGGAATCGATGTGCCACAACTATTGCTGATTATTAGTTTCTTTCTAGAATCATGTAATGTGCGTGGTGCTGATTTTATTTATTTATTTAATGTACATTCTGTGTGTATATATATATATATATATATATATATATATATATATATATATATATATATATATATATATATATATATATATACATGTATGTATATTTGGTGAATTTTATTTCGGTAGATATTAATTTTAGGAAGAAAATCATGAATTATTGAATGTGGAAGAAACTACTACTTAGTGTGCTTGTGCAATGACTTTACCAAAAATTAGTTGAATAACGACCATATTATCTCAGTCACAGGTGTTTGTAATCTTCAAATATAATATGAATTATTGAAATCAGATGAATTAAGACATTAAAGGTTTACGATTTGTATTTATATATAATGCACAATGGTAGGCAAGTTTTATTTTTCATATTTATTCTGATGACATAGGAGTGGATGGTCTGAATACAAGTACATACTTTTTGAGTAAGTTTTACTTAGAGAAAACCACAGGAATAGGAATGCAGTTATTTTGAGGAATATTTAAAAAATAACATGAGAGAACGCTTGTATTAGTTAATTATGTATGAAACTATTCATTTCTCCATTTGCGGGGCTTTTTACCTCGGTTCTTCCTCTTTCTCTCTCTCTCTCTCTCTCTCTCTCTCTCTCTCTCTCTCTCTCTCTCTCTCTCTCTCTCTCTCTCTCTCTGCATCAGTTTGTCTCTATCCCCCTCTTTCTCCTTCTTCACATTTCTCTTCTCTCCTGCCTTCTTTCTTTCTCCCAATCTCTCTATTTTATTACGTATTGTCATTACACTTGTTTGTCTGTGCAGCCATAATCTACATCGTAATTTTTATTCCAGGAGGAAGCCATGAGTCGGCACCGTCCATCAAACAGCAGCACAGCAAACATGAAAATAGAGAAGTCTTTATTTTTATAAGAGAAATTTGATCATCATAGAAAACGTCATCATGTTTACACACAGACTCCTCTTTCCATTATTGTATTTCTTGGTTGTCCTAATCGTACTGCCGATATTCACCAGCGATAAAGTTTATTCCATGTTTTATCAAGAGGATGTGTCCAAAAACGCAGAGGTAGATCAGATGAAACTTGACTTTAGGAAGAAAGGAGTTCATAATTATTTACGAAGCTTAGATGCAGGTGCCACACTTGAATATTACGAGGACAAATTATCAGAGTCCGTTGACAATCTGATAATCATTTTCGCAAGGAAGCCCAAACACGATGACCTCCTCTTGTCGCAACTAGTAGCCGAAGTAGATCGGAATATTAGAACGGAAAAGTTCTACAAAAGTGCCTTTTTCGTGTGTAACGTAACAAGGATTAATTTCCCAGAACTCGACCTCCTGTCTCGAATTTATCCCGTTCGGCAAGCCAAGAACACAACAAGCTGGAGGCTCTTCAATCGCGAGGAAGTCATCAAACACGACTTCGTGGAGTGCATTACCCACGCCTTATCTGAGACGAACGCCAAGCACCTGACCCTTCTTAGGGATCATGTGATTCCGTATTCCGGGTTCCTGCAGGTGCTCAATCGAGTCATCATGACGAGACTCAACCGCACGATCAGCCGCGGGGAGCTCCTGCCGGCGTATTCCTCGTGGCTCTTCCTCCACCTGCAGGAACCTGTCCCCTTCAGACACTACGAATTTAGCCTCAGTTGCGTCTACGAACTGATCCTTATCTCGAGTATCGGCGGACTCCTGTTCCTCTTGGTCTTCTGGTGGGTGGAAGAACCGCGACACCACCATCTCGTGTCCGTACGACTAACCTACATCTTCTACGGCGTCCTCTACTTCTTCACCTTCGCGCTTATCATTGGACGGCCTTACGTCAGCGAGCTGCGCCGCTTTGCCCCGGATTTCTACCGTCTCTACGACCCTCCGGAGCCCGTCCACTTCTCTGCCATGAGCCTTCCATCAGCCAGCGCAGCCAAGCTTGTTAATTCCCTCAATGACATCAGGTGTTCTGTGTATGTGCCTTTCCATCGTGTCTTGGACCACATGGTCAACACGATCGAACTCCCTGGTTACGTCATATCACCCAGTCTTGTCAAATACGTTGCGAGGACTTAAATGCAGAATGAGGAGTATGTTAGGCAATATTTAAGTGTGCCAGTATATATATGCTTTACGTAGTTTATATCTAATACTTTTTTGTGATAACTCAGCAAATTATTCTTTTATATGTTTGAGATTGTGTGACGGTGGTGCCTTTATTGTTACTTAGGTGCGTATTGTTGTTTATAGCATATGTATATCTAGTCGTATTTTTGGCATAACTTAACTCTGCATAGAGAAAAGAACGTATTATTCGCCATCATTTGTCACTTCAGTCATTTTCTTAAGGAATTCATTGTCATCGTCATTGTCATTTACTTCTGAAATTTCCTTTTATTTGGTATTTATTTTACTGTCCCTGAAATAAGGTACTTATGACTGTTACTTAAAAAATTGTGCCTGGTATAATATACTTTTAATACATGTGTAAATAAATGTGCCATTTTGAAGTCACCATTTTTCAACCTTGGTTTGTGAAAAGATATTTTCAACAAATACATACATACATATACATACATACATATACATACATACATATACATACATACATATACATACATACATATACATACATACATATACATACATACATATACATACATACATATACATACATACATATACATACATACATATACATACATACATATACATACATACATATACATACATACATATACATACATACATATACATACATACATATACATACATACATATACATACATACATATACATACATACATATACATACATACATATACATACATACATATACATACATACATATACATACATACATATACATACATACATATACATACATACATATACATACATACATATACATACATACATATACATACATACATATACATACATACATATACATACATACATATACATACATACATATACATACATACATATACATACATACATATACATACATACATATACATACATACATATACATACATACATATACATACATCAACAATGATAATAATTCAGATTTATGTTTAAAATCATATGGATCTAAGAACAAACACACACACATATATATATACATATACATACATACATATATATATTTATACACATATATATGTGTATGTGTATAGAGACACTATATGTTTATTATTTGTCAGCAAGTCAAGACTACTGGAATGGAACATAGTAATATATCCAAAAATATGTAATACATTTTTTGGGCCTTGCAACATTTTCATTCAAATTTTCTGACACATTTCTCAGATTTTCAAATGTATTTTCTGCATCAATTACATTAAAAGGGACAATGGTTGATATTCAGTATTACAGTATATGTCATCTTTATTTAACCAGATATGTCTGTCTAGTTTTGTTTATAATGGGGGAATGAAACAACTGGAGCAATTGGTTTACTGTATTGTAATATATGTAAATATAACAACTTTGGATATTTCCAGCCTGTAGTTATCAACGTATATTGAACAGAATGTGTAAATGAGACGCCATCTTTTCGTTCTCGATATTTTTTTTCTATTCTTCCTCTCCCTCTACCCTTCTCCTTCTCCCTCTTCCTCTACCTTTCTCCTCCCTCTCCCTCTACCTTTCTCCTTCTCCCTTTCCCTCTACCTTTCTCCTTCTCCCTCTCCTTCTACCTTTCTCCTTCCCCCTCTCCCTCTCCTCTCAGCGATCTCATAATTATCACCCTTTTACTACTGCTTGGGCGTGATTCCCATTCATAAAATACAATTGACTGCAGGTGGAATAATCAGGTTACGCGTAGAGTCTAGTACCATACCAGCTGGTACTTCAAAGGATCATACATACCTGCCATCAACTTTTCATGAATGAGTTCGACCACTGGAAGAGTAATGGACGAAGAATCAGCGTAAAATACCTTCTTCAGTCGTTTGCCTCCGGGACAACGAGAGCGAGGTAGTCCTGGGTGTAACGTGAAGATGGAGTGGTGATAACAGTAGTTATCTCGTGGTAGTAAGTTGTAATTGTCGTAGTGATGATTGTTGTAGTAGTAGTCGTAGTAGTAGTTAGCCGTAGTCGTAGTAGTGATGACAGTTGCTCTAGAAGTGCCACTCTATGACTCCTTAGACCGTGCTCTAGTGTGTTCTAAGAACTTCCTGATGGTCGTCCCAGAAGAATCGTTGAGATCGAGATAGGATGGTTCTAAGGAGAAAGGAAAATAATGGGAGAAATACTTAACAATCAAAGCTCTATGATATAAGCTTTATTTATGTGTGTGTGTGTGTGTGTGTGTGTGTGTGTGTGTGTGTGTGTGTGTGTGTGTGTGTGTGTGTGTGTGTGTGTGTGTGTGTGTGTGTGTGTGTGTGTTATGTGTGTCCATATATTAAATTGTTTTGCCAATTTACAGCTTCATCAATAACATAAGCATCTATTAATATATGCAGTTGGTCTGAGAACACATTTGGACGCGCGTAATCTCAATTAATAGAAATCATTAACACAATACAAAATATTTGAGGATTTTCATACTATTATAGTTACTAGTAATCTATATATAGGGCAATATTTTGGTCTATGCTAAACAAACCACTACATAGAGAGTTTTGTACACATGCAAGTAAATCATATATTTTTTTTAGTTATTTAAGAATGGGTAAATAGGAAGAATCTAGTGTGATACTGATCTAATCTCATTAGCATATGTCTCTAAGATTAAAATATATCAGTAACCCTTTACAATTTTTTTTTCATCCGGCAATGGCCATGTTACAGAATATTAGTGCACGTATAAATAAATCTTTGTTAGTAGTTCATACTGGATTTTTTTCAGTGAATTGAGTTTAAGGAAAGGCCGCTTTTTGCCCCTGTCTTGGTATCACAATTTCAGCTGTGGTCAGCACATTACTAGCAGATGCTATCATACTAAATTATTGTGGCATGCTGTATTCTTTTTGTAAATTATGTCATAAAAATGCTATTTGATTTGATAATATTAAGATGTTCATAATGGTAATTATTATAATATGATTTGTAGCAGTAGCTATAGCAGTAGTAATAGTGATAACAATAGTAAAAGTAGTAATAGTAATACCAATAGTAAAAGTAGTAGTAGTAGTAGTAATAGTAGTAGTAACAGTAGTAGCAGTACTATCACTACTACCAGCAACAGTACTTATAGTATTACTAGTAGTACTGGTAGTAGTAAAAGTAGTAGTAGAAGTAGAAGTATATCAGTATATATCATTATCATAATCATCATTAATTTCACTGCCATCACCACAATATTTGCTGCTATCGTAATTAACACAAACTATTATCCTCACCTCGCCTCCTTGGGTTATTTTTATCATCGGGCCTGCTGGAGACAACGCGTAAGTAATCGACATCATCGCTCGACCCTGCTGGAATAGTGTTCGACGGTCCTAGTGTATTTTGTCCGCCCTTGTCCCTATCCGGACTGCTTCCTCCGCCTATGCCCGAGTCCGTGTCTTTACCGGTGCTGTTGGGTTTCCCGTCTTCTGTAATCGTTGTAGGAGTTGTTATAGAAAACGGAATAATTAATAGGGCTAACTTTGGTAACAATCTTTGATATTGATATTTTTTTGGGGGGATGTGATTATGCAGATGTAGATATTACTGATCTTTGGTTTAACATATCAGATATCGGAACTTGATTTCTTTGGCCATCACCAGATTTAACGTTGCAACTAACCTCCTTGTTGTCGACCAGGTCCGGCAGACTGTAAATTCATCAAATATTAGACTCACACGAATGGGACAATATAAACCACAGTCATCATTATTCACACAAACTTATCAATATTTCATATATACATACCAAATATTAAATCCCAAGCGAATAGATATAGGACTATAGGCCAAAAATACTCACCTTTACCACCACTATAACAGCACCCAGTGTATTCTTATCACTCAGTAAGTAACACGTGCCCAATATGGCAGACTGTGTAAGAAAATTACATCACTCAAAAACTCACTCAGAAATGTTTGTCCCAAGAGAACGAGAAAGCAAACAAATAAGAATGAATCACTCACATCTATGAGAAAAAGATGTATTTCATCAAAATATTTATGTATTTTTTCACTGTTGTTGATTTGTGTGGTCAAACACTACATTTCGCTGTCTATGCGTTTTTGTCACTAAAATTATGATACTATTTTTAAAGCGTTGGGAGGTAACATAGCATTCATAAATCAAATTCTTTATTGTTATCTATTTTTAATTAAGCTAAGTTTTTTTATGTACATATATACATAAGTAAACATCTTAATATTTAACCTTACTAACTAATTCACAAAATTTCGCTTCGAGTTCACCGACCGAGTGTCCTTAAAGGAAAATCTTTCCATTCTCAACAAATCAATAGATAATGTGGTTTTGATTAAGATCATGAGTTTCATGGACAGCACAGCGACATCCTCCTTGTGGGTATTTTGGGTTACAAAGCAAAGTAAATGTGCTAGACATCAAAGGTTATATAGCACTATCGAAAGGTGTAGTAGTAGTGTAGTTGATTTTTAAATGTGCTACACCCTAAAAGACGTATAGCAGTTCAGAATAGTATGGTGGTGAAAGGGATGAGTAAGAGATTCTTGGGGGCGGAAACCTCTTGGCAGGGTGGGAGAGGGAGAAAGCAAAGGACAGTACTGGAGTAGGGAGTAAGAGAAAACCTCGTCTGCGTGCTATCTGTCTGGCCTCTCGTAAAATGAATCTGAGACTTGCCACCTCAGACTCAAATCTGGGGGCACTATAATTGGCACTTGTGCGTGAATGTGCAGAGCAGTTTCGGTCATGAGGACACAGAGGGCATCAGGCTGTGGAGCGGCAGTGTTTAGCAGGATGGCTTAGACGCCAGAAATTCTGACGTTGCCAGGGGGTAAGTTGATATGGTCGGACAGGGAGGGACTCTCCGCCAATATAAACATGAAGGGGGAGCCAGTGTCTACAGAAAGTATTCTTGGCAATATTGTCGGAGGACTTACGGCGGCCTCTAGGGGGAATGGTGTTGCATTCTACTAATACTGCATCATTATAGTCCACAAAGCAGGTTTTCTCCACAATCTGACCAATCGTAGACAGGGCAGTTTGTCGGTACAATAATTGAGGAAGGGATGAGGCTGGACAGGGACAAGTTTGCCAATTAAGTCAATTAGGGTTGACAGTGCTTTAGCTTGGGATTCAATTGTAATTGTGAGAAGGCGGGGAGAGGAGTGTTGTTAGAGTAAGAGACTTTAGAAGGGATCACGGAAACTCGGTCCCAGTTGGCTGGGTTAAACAAAGTATTCAAAACGTTTGTAAAGGTCGTGGTAGTAGAAGACGGGGACGTGTGAAAGAGGGAGTACTGTTGCGGGGGGAGTATTGCCGAGAGGTTGAGAAGAAGGTTGCTGAGTAGTAATAAGTGTGGAAAAGGTTGCAGATGAAGAAAGCTGTGGAGTTGGAGGATGTGAGGTTGAGAATGCTGGGAGATGAGGAATCTTTTTCTGGAGATTGAGTAATGACGAATGATTTGGACTGGGCTGAGGTGATAGTTGGCACTGAGGAGGGTAACAGTGCTCAGTGGTCAAAGAGGAGCCTGGGGTCTGGGAATCGGGAGAATTTACATCTGTTGATAAAGGGTCAAACCTCATTGCCCCTAATAAGGGCCTAAAATTTTCACTATTGGCCATGGTAAACCTGGAGTATATTGGGGAGAAAAACAGCCAACTCCTCAGGGTCCTCTTAAGGGGTAAAGGCCAGACAAATAAACAGGGAAATAACGTACCCATAGCTCCCTTAGGCCGTTCATAATTGGCATAAAATCAGCCTTTCATCCTTTCATCACGGATCTCACACCGTAGGAAGTGGAGTCGAGGGACGAGGCCCAAGACAGAGGTGATCCCCAGCATTGGGCTCCAGTCTCCGTCTGCTCTGCCACCAACAACAACAACGGGCATGGGATTGGGGGGGAGGGTATTCTGGGTTAGTCTCCTTTGCTTGGAAACTAAAAGGAACTTCTATTACCTCTCGATATTGTTTTTGCTTTTAGATTTTTTTTTGATTTTTTTTTGTAATGAGATTCGACCAAGGAGGATTTCAAGGCCATAGGGAATTACTGATCTTACTTTTTGATTAACTTTTAACTCTTACTTTTTAATACTTTTATGGACTGGGAGTATGAAGTTAAATATTTGATTACCCATTTGTTTTTTTCTTGAGGAGGCAGATAATCTTTACAGATAATTTTCATTTTACTGAAAATGCATTCACTATTATTAAGAGTCGCTGATTATCTTAAATAGTTATATCTCATCCTGTTAGATTTAACTGAATTTCTGTTACCGCGTGTCCATGCATATGTATGTGTGTGTGCACGCGCGCGTGTGTGTGTGTGTGTGAGTAGAATTTCATAGAAATAATATCATGCATTT